TCCCACGCACACACACACACACATACATTCAGACACGCGACCGCATACACACGCGTGTACATACATGTATACAGGCAGGAAATAAAAGGGAATCGCGACGATTTAATGACTGATCGGGCTGTTGCTCGCTGTTGCTGTCGCTGCAATCTGAAGGGCTCTTCCTCCCCCGCCCTTTTCGTTCCTACTTTCTCTCTCTCTCTCTCTCTCTCTCTCTCTCTCTTCCTCTCTCTCTTTCTCTTTCTCTTGGTGTGCCTGATAAGGAACTTGCCTTTTCTTCGAGCTTTCGCACCGGCCTCCCGAGTCAATTGCGTCATTTACGGCAGATCGGGCGCTGCTATTTTCCGGGAGTATCGATACGTAATAATGAGAGTCTTTTCTCGTTGCTCAGATTCCGTTTCCGGGCTCGAGCTGCTGCTGCTGCTGCAACGCGTATATATCACGATACCCTACTGGCTGTGCAATTCTCTCTTTCCTTTTTGACTTTAAGGTGCTTTCTTTCTTTCAAGCCACGCTGTTTCATAAATTTAATTGGAATCTCGTATAAAGACACATGATCGACTTTCAAATTAATTATTTTTGGATTCTCTATTCCGGGTTTTATTAGCCAAATTTATATATTATATATATTTGTTTATTATATATTATATTTATTATATATTTGTCATGTAGGTAAATAAATAAATGACAGAAAAGATTCTTGTTCTTGAATTAATATTATGATCTGGACTGTGAAATTTTTTATATGATGAAGACAGATTTCGAATTATTATACAAATTTTCAGCTATATTTTCCTCACATAATTTGTCTTGCATACACATATATAACTTTAAGATTCGCCTTCCAAAATTTTTTTTTAGATTATTCGACTCAAACGCATCTCTTTGTATGTATATAAATTTTAATGCTTGCTCGATAAATATTAAATCGCTAGCAGGATTTCAGTTTATAATAGGACAACTTTCGGCGTAAATTATCTCCAGCTGTAATTTAATAGACCCCTTCCCGAAATTAACATCATTTACAAAGGCCGTTTGTCAATCGCATGCGCGGTCAAAGAAAGAGAAAGCGTTTCCGAGTTTCGCGTACACACTCCAGTTACTTTACGGTCTTACGAACAATAGAAACTGATAATTCACTCAGTCACCATCTCCCTCGCATAATCTCGGGGGTCTAGAACTGGCAAACTCGAAATTCATGCCGCTACAGGGTTACGTACGGGGAGGAAAAGTGATAGGAGATGGAGGGCTAACTAAAAATTCAAATAAGATTCTCGTAACATGTACATGCATAATTGCGATCGAATACATCGATACTTTTTAATAAAAAAATATAGTTAATTTTTAAAAAATAATCCTATTCCAATATATCTCTGAAAACTTTTAGTTTGCTTTCTTTGTAAATAAAAACTGGATATCTCATACAATTTCTGATTTCTCTACAAAAGGAGATAAATTTTTTTTATATATAAGAAAATATTAATCTCCAAATCACAAGATAAAGATAATTTTATGTCTGCGTATAATAATCATACGGTTATTTTTTATTTACTTTTTCTATTTCCTATTAATAATTATTTGCAATAATCGTCATGGAAATAGATTTTTGGAATTAATAATTAATGTGACAAAAAATAAAATATTTGTATTGAGAAAATATTAAAAATAACAAAAAAAAAGAAATGTCGCAGAATTAAAATACTATCACTATTTTCGAAATACAAAATAAAAAATTCACCAAAAAATTTAGAAGAATTATCGATCTCAAAACAACGTATGAGATGAATAAATTAACAGTCGGATAACGCATAAAGGGCTCTTCTATCATATCATAAATAGCTAAATAACGATGCCCATACAATACATGTTCCGTTTCCTCGACAAGCGATTTTATATAGCGCTCCAAAGTGGAATTACTGTAGAGGTATCCTTAGCAGGAATCTTGAATCGTCTTGCCCAGGAGCAAGGAGACGGGTTTGTATCCAGGAACGCGAGCGAGCGCGCGGGCTCGTTTCGCCTAAGCCTAATTTATAGGGATGTTTCGTGTCCTCCACAGTTGCCCCGCCAGGCTCTGTGTCCTATTACTCCTATTCTCTATTATGCGCCGCCGGCGCCGCCGTAGGCCGGCGGGAGCCTCTCCCGATATCTATGTGCCATTCTAAATTATTCGGTATTGTCCTCGCATGATTCCATTGTCCGCGTCTGTCTCCACCGTGCGCTGATACGCCACGCTGCCGCAGGTTAGGGCGTAGACCTACAACAACACCCGGCCGCCACCGCGCCGGGTTGTGTGAGCGTGTATCTGCTTCGAGTGCGCGTCTTGTCATCGCGTCGGTCAAGAGAGAGATCCGCGCTCTCGTATGTACATCGTCGAACATGTCTAATTAATCGCCGCCACCGATCTCGCCGCCGCACTGTAAGAATGTGCGGGACCTGTCGGTGACGGCTGCGTGATCGGTGATCGTAAATGATGTAATCGCCGCTCCTACGCAAGAGGCTACTGTGTTTAACTGTGTTTAACGCCAGGCTAGATGAGTTTTCTAGACGTCAGCTTGTCGCTTTCAAGCGACAGCCTCCGATGATCGAAGAGATGCACGAGTTTTAGTGACAGTTATATAATGACAATTAGCGTTAAATATGTCAGTTTGCGAGGAATAAAAATTGATGTTTAGCTTCTGATATTGTCATTCTTGTTATTTTCCAGCAACAAGTAGCTTTCGCAATTTTGACGGGTGCAGGAGAAGAATCTCGTTTCGTTTATATTTCAAAGATAAATACATGATGAAAGCGATATTTTTATTTGACGAAAGACTTGATTGGCCAACGACATTTCTCGATATTTACCGCCGCTATTCGATTTAACGTCGACGTTTCTTCGTCAAGTCGTGGATGAGTACGTATCTGCGCTGGCGCTTCTCTCTCCTTCACGGCGCGAAACGAGTTTTATTAACTTCCCCGCGTCTCAAAATACACGCTAGGTACATATATATATACCCGGTTGCCCTGCGTCGAAAGACACACCCGAGAGTTAGTCTCTTATTCGCGCGCGCGCGCGCGCGCGTGTGTGTGTGTGCTTGGGACGGGAGAGATTACAATAAATTGCACACGCACCCTTCTCGAAATTCAAGACAAGCACCGGGAGAGAAAGGGAAGAAGGAGGGGAAAGAAAGAGATTCCTGTTCGCGATACTGTGTTCTCTATTGCCGTCGCGTTGCTTCGCCTCGCCCAGAAGGGCGTTTTTTCCACGACTCGTGTTCTCGTTTTTCTCGTCTCTTCCGCCATTGATTAGACTCGAGGGCACTTTCGAGAAGGACACTGAGACATATCGCGCTAGATATTTCCTCCGCGATTTCTCCTCCTCCACGAATACATTTGACATATTTTGCAATTCAGGAACTGGTATACATATTTCCGATGTTTTTGAATAGTAAATAGGGAGGAAAACGGCGAGAACTCTCGAGTTACTCCGATACGACGTCTCTAAAAGTACACGCCAAATAACTCTTTTCAAGTTGCGCTTAAAGGGTCGGGCATAAATCGCCGGTAATTTCGCTGTCATTGTGAACCATGATACAGGATCGTAACAGTGTTTGCACCGGGCGTCACCTGAGACACCCTGTGTACATTCGAGGAACGCAGCACGGACACTTGACACCCTCAAGGACCCGGTAGACGTGCACTTCGTTACGCCGCCACCGGGACTTTACGAAGGTTACGGATAGGGATATATGAATTTTTTTTTCAGCCTCGCGCATGAGAGCGTCGGGTGGCACGCACGAAGGGAGCCGGAGGGGTTGGATTCTACCGGGGGAGGTACCGGTGGAAGGTCTCTCCGCGAGAGAATGATATTTTAATAACCGCCGGTAATATCTACCGGCGATTTTCTCTTTCCCGGTGCTCGCGTATCGGTGTGCGCGACACTTACACAAACGCTTCGTGGCATGTCGGAAGGGGAGGAGGGGGGGGTTTAAGAGTCCTCTCTCGCCAGCAGCTACATTAACATCGGCCCTCGATATTGCATTCCTTTCCTTTGACGTCGGCCGGATGTCAATTACTAATGTTATTATCTGGATGCCGGAAGGGCGAGGGATAGGGGGGGGGGGAGAAGCTGTATCCTGCTGCGGAATTTTTCCCCTCGAGAGGAACCCGTTCGCGCTCGATATTATCTCGTTTCATTCAACGCTGACAAATCGACGGATCGCGAATGGATTGAAGGTTGATTGGCGGTTGACAATTAATGAAAATAATGCATATTGTGAACGCATTTAAGTCAAGTAGCGCAGCGTGGAATTTTGCCAGCGGAGAGGAGGGAACGTTGACGATATCCGTGGAGGTATTATGATTGTACTCTCCGGTTAGAAACTCCGGGGCAAATGGAAACGAGATTAAAATGTATGCCGTAAGAAGGATTAAATAATTGCTACTACCAATCGATAAATCGCATCGTATTCATCGGACCTGTATCGCGTCGAGGAACGTAATTCACCGTACGATAGAAATCGCTAAAGAGTCCCGTGTACTCGAACGGCACGAGCGAAGGGGTGCTCGAGTAAGAGGGAGGGTCGATTAGGAAGAGGGCGGCAGGAGGGACGAAGAGGGAAGGGAGAGACGAAAGCTGAAGGCGCTCCTCTAGCTACATATTTCCCCGCGGTCTCTATCAATCTCTCCCTTGCTAATAATGGTTAAACTTTTTAACGAGCGGTCAGATACTTGCACCCTCTCACCAGGCAAGGGATTCTTTCACGCATTTCACCGACGGCCGTGTGTACACGAATGCTACAACTCGAGGCGTGCCCTCGAGAAGTGCGTTTCGTGCCCTGCTTTGCTTTTCGAATAAAGCGCCGGAAGGACGTGCCCCTCTTTATGTTTCCGTCAATTTATTATTCTTCAATAATCTCGATTGATAAAAACAGAGGGAAAATCGCGATAACCTCGGATTCTCTCGTTAAAAAAAAAAGGTTGAAGATGTATACCGTGAGAGACGATGCTGTTATATTTTGCAGGATCGAAGCGATCCAGAGTCTCCGAGAGCACGACGGCAACGATCCTGTCGACCAGCGATATCAACGAGGACGATCGTGATTCCGACTCTGGTGGCGAGCTGCGAGTCGATCATTCATTAGGTATTGCTAAGATCACTATTACACACACACATTTTTTTTGAGAATTACATGTTTTATCTGATTCTTTTCTTTAATCGGAAATAATTTTATACATCCTTGTCTCTCTAGACAGAGCCAAACAAATATAAAAAATTATTTCTTTATTCATATAATAGGCAAAAATGTAAAAATTAAATTTTAAATACTTATCATATTAAAGAAAAAAAATATATATAACGTATTATATTGATATATAAAATATATTAATATATTATATAATATATTTCTGATATGTATATAATATAAATAACATATTGTACTATTGTATATTATATATAATATTATAATATATAAGAAATAATATGTTATATTATCGTATATTGCAACATTATAGTCTTAATGTTTCATTACTTAATCATTTCTTTGCATCCAATTACTCCTCTTTACAACTGACTTTTTTACAACTTCTCTCGTTTTCTCACACGTCAATGTAAACTGTCGAGTTCCCCGCATGAAGTTCTCCTGCGAAGTGACGAATGTTACAGTGGTACCGACTTCGTCGGGGATACCAGAGTCCGGCGAGGCGACGCTGAGGAAGCGCACCAGCAGTCTCAATGACTCCGAGGATGGTAGCCCCGAACCGGGCTCGCAGAGTCCGACGCACACGCCGCCGTTGACACCGGCCTTGACGCCGCAAAGGGAGGACACACCGGCGCCGGAAAACCTCAGCTTACGCAAGAGCGACAGCCCCCCGCAGCAGACGCACCAGACGTCCCTACAACCGGTGGATCTGGTACAACCTAGGCCCAGTCCCCCGCTTCCTCCGTTAGCTGTAAGTTTTACTTACGATCCTTTACCGAGCGTGTGCATCTCTATCGATTCTCTTAATTGATCATTAAAGTAATATTTTAGCTTTGTAATTGGAATTAATGATACATCAAGAAAAGTAAAAGACGCATCAAGTTTCTTCATTGCGAATAAGATTCTCTTCTCACACAGTGATTACTTTCTGGAAAAATATGAAGAATCTGGATTTTTCAAGGATTTCTTTTGTATCTGGAAAGATTAGGGAATTCTCGAATTTTATTGGGATACGAGAAATTTTCTCAAAAATTCTCTCTTTAATAATTTTATTCTTATATTGTAAATAGCCGACAAGTTCAGTGAAAATTATGCACATTTGCAATACATAAAATATATATATCTATCTCTCCATTTATATATATTCAATGTCTCAACAAAATATTGAACATGCAATGCATATTTTTTATTATATACTTATTTATATACTATATTATAACTTTCAGTGATGAAAGAAAGAAAATGTGTTTGCAAGTAAAAAATGTTTATCTTGGAAATGTATTCATTTCTTTCTTTCGGTATATTTACAAATCTAGCACTTGAAATCCAAGTGTTTTTTCTCTGCATGCGTGTAAATTATTATAAAACGCATGCAATAAAAAAATATATTTTAGAAAGTCGCGTCAAAAGACCTTTAAAGTATTCTCTTTATTTGCAATTTCAATAAAAATATTCTAAAATTTTCAGAGAATTTTTTTACAAGATTTCAATAGACATTCTGATAAATCTTTCTCTCTCTCTTAAAATCGTTATCATGAAACTGCAATATTCTTTTTATCTTAAATTGGAACAAAAATATCCTGGAATTCTCAGAGAATTTTTTTTAAGATTTCAATAGACACCCTGATAGATTTCTCTCTCTCTTTCTCTCTCTCTCGAAATCATCATCACGAATTTTTTTTAAGATTTCAATAGACACCCTGATAGATTTCTCTCTCTCTCGAAATCATCATCATGAAAGGAATGAATAAGGTTTCTTTTTGTTAAAAAAAATGGTAGTATATTTATTCACATCGCGATGTAGCGTCAAAGGGGGAAGGCAGGAGGTTTTTCTTTCGCCTTTGTACAGGCGAAGCCGCGAGATCCGATTCAATTTAGCGAGCGACAATTTATAAACTCGTTCTCGCGATTGCAGGCCGCAGCGACGGTGCACTTTCCTCCGTACGCGCCTCTCTACGGACCGACGGCGAGCCCGTTGGCGTATTGCACGCCGGCTCTGTATCAGCATCAGCATCACCATCACATACCCGAGCCGCGAGAGATTCAGATGCAGATGCAGATGCAGAATCTCCAGCAGACCTGCGGATTGCAATTACAACAACAGCAACAGCAACAACAGCAGCAGCAGCAACGTTCGCCGGTGGACGTCCTGCTGAGAGTATTCCCAGGAAGACGTCGCGCCGACGTCGAAGCGCTTCTCCATCGATGCAAAGGTAGGATCTTCTTTTGGAGCTCCTCCGAAAAATTTTTACAATCTTACCCAGCACAAAAGTTTGTTTCGGAAACGTTACATCGACGACGAACCCATGATTGATTATTAAATGCATGTAATCCTTTCCAATTCTTGGAGAAGACTTGTATCTAAAATCAAATTTACATTCTCATAATTTTTTGCGAGAATATAACTGTATTTAATTATCCGAAAAACCGCAATGTGTTGGACGATTTTGTTAAACGAGAACGTGTTCGTTATTTTATTTCTCACCTTTAGCAAAACCTCGTCTTTCTTTTAAATTATAAATTAACTTTGACACGCGAGCATATATTCAAGTAAAAATTATGAGATTCTAACGTCACTTGAGCGATTCTCTGTTCGCGACGAAATTATCATTTAATTTCGATAATATATAAGGAATAATAACGATAATTGATAGTGAAAAATACAAAAGAGACTCTGCCTTGTCGGCAGGCGACGTGGTGTCCGCTATGGAGGTGCTGGTCTGCGAGGACAGCCTGCAGCCCAAGTCGGCGTTCTCGCCGCTGGCGGGCGCCCTGGCGTCGGCCGCCGCGGCGTCCGCCGCCTCCGTCTCGGCGTACGCGAGCCGCGCCGCTTACTGCACCACCCCGATACCGTCGACGCGGCACCGCTTCCTGGCCGCGCCGTACACCGGCACCGGCTACCTGCCCACCGTCATCAAGCCGCCTAACCAGAGCCTGCACGCCAACGGCACCGCCGGTGATGCCTACCGGGAGACCAGTCCCGACGACGCCAGCGACAAGACCAGCTACTCCGAGTGACCGGACGAAAGCCATGCCGCCGTCTGGTCGTATCCCTCGATCGTCCCATAACGGACGACGACGCGTGTTCCTGCCGGATAACGATGGCTGCCCGATGAGGGAGGCTTCGACGTGGTCCGGTCTCTGTGCGTTCATCCAAGTATGAGCGAGAGATTATTTCAAATCCTATAATCGCGACGACAATAATGCGCGATCGTGAAGGTTTCACGTTCGATCGGAAATTATACACTGGCGGAATCGACAATCCTTCTATCGAGAAAGCAACTGCTCGGAATAATCGATCGGCGAAAGACTCTGAATATTCCGAGGATAATGCCCCTGTAATTTCTGAATACGCGGAACAGAATATATCTACGAGGCAAGACGGAGATTCTTTTCCGATCCCTTGGACTGGACATCGTTTTTAATCATCTTTACACGGAGGATAAATTTAGTGACTGACCGTCCTTTCGCTAGCAGGAATATACGTAATTTCGATCGTTAGCAAAATATGTGTCGCGGAGAGAAGTTCTAACTCCGAAAGGAAGATTATGACTTCGAGAGAGTCAGATAAGTTGTCGTCTCGAGAAGAAACTCCAGGATCGAAAAATCGGATCCACTTCACTTATCGACGCTTGCGGGCAACATGTAAATCCAATGACAGTCGCAATGAAGCTGTTCCAGTAGACAATAAATGAACAAAGATCGTCGCTTCTTGCATCTTTGCAAGGGCGTCGAGGACTTAGCGAGGGTGTCTGACAATCCGTTTTAATATTCATACACGTATACATCTCTACTGCTGCGGAAAATATGTCCGGATTAATCAGATATCTCTGCGTTAAAAGAAAAATCGCATCGATGACGCGAGAAAAGAAGCGCCATCGGAAGATGAAAGGATCCGCAGCCGCGATTCGTCTTCAGAGTATACTTTATACATGTGTAGATAAAGACTAATATAGACAGAGATATGTGTGTGTGTATGTAGGTAACAAGTTCTCGACGACTATATCAGCCAAACGAGGAGGGAGGTGAGTCTGTAAATACAAGTCTATATAGCTAATTCTATCTTGCATTAATCTCGAGATTTGCCGGAGTATGTTAAACGCGTAATATACATATAAGTGTTTGCCTGTAAGTAAATAACGCCTGCAAGATATTTAGATTTTAGCCGCTAGCGGACCGGAAGCATCGTTTTACCGTAGTTACCACAAATGACATGTTACTCGAAAAAATGTATAGACCGAAGATACATCCAATAAATAAGATAATTGATACTCCATATCGATCGTCTATTCATCGCGTCCCATTTTTCTCGATCCAATTAAATCAATTTTTCATATACAGATCATTTTGATTTCGTAACTTGAAGAATAATGGCTATAAATGTGGATGTATATACGAAAAATTTTTCGATAAACGACGCTAATTTATCTCACCTCTCATTAATTTCTACTCGAATATGAATACTTAATGTCGAATTTTTTTACATTTTATCTCTCTCCGACAATATATGATTAATAATTTAAAACTATTTGCATAATTGTATTTAAAAATAATCCTTACGCATCAGCTAACTAATCCTTGACAATATACTTGTCAAAGGTTTTGTAATTCATATTATAAATGATACATCCTCTCCAATGGAAAACGTAATTCGTTACGGCAGAAGGAGATGCGAAACACGTGTCTTTTTTCCAGATGCGAGAGATAAAGAGCGTGGACTGATTTTACGAAAGACAGGTCTTCCGGCTGAGTGAAAATTTCACAGCGACCTTCGATCAACGAAAGGAAAAGGTATCGGATGACGAGCGCCGTTTGCAGGTGAAGAAATGGGATATGCGACGTCGTTGAATTCCCGAAATCGTTTCATGGTCGATCGATCTCAAATCGCGCTACGCCGTTTCCAATAAATCGATCTCGGTCAATGTGCGAGTAGTCAATTTTGCCGCTCAATTTACGCGGATACAGTCGCAGAGGATGCGTCATAAAATTTCCCACACTCGCATATGTCCTCCTCGATGTAAATTGACGAATTTTTAGATCTCCATTTCAAATTTTATATTTCCATTTTAAATTGTACATAATAATCTTTTTCCAATTCAAAAAAGTTATTATAAATTATAGTATAAAATAATTCTTTAAACAAATTTTTCAACAATATTTCGAAATACATGCAATAAGGTCATTCGCAAAACAATAAAATATTCTATATATACACATACACATACATACATACATATATAAATAATTAATTTTATTAAATAATATAAATATCGAATATGCTATAAAAGGTAATATTTAATACGTGTATATTAATCAGTAATTAATTAAAAGTCACTAAAAATTCGAAAAATGTCGCATACTTTTGAAAGTAATATGACATCATGATATTATACAGAACAGGATTCGTAATCATATATTATTCATGTAAAAATAAAATTACAAAAATTAAATTAATTAACAAGAGATTCATTATATGATTATTATATATTTCTCAAAATGATTTTTGCATCAATAAAACTGTGCAATCAGCGTTTCATTAGAATCGTGTCAAGCTTATTTTATCTAAATTTTTCGTATTTTTTTCTTTTTGGAATAACACACAAATTTTTCAAAAGAATTATTTATTGTTATACATTCTGGCACAGTATTAAACATCTTTTCGTTTTGTAATTGCAAATTCTCAATATATCGTGATGTCGTGAATTAATGACAGGCATTCTGACGCTTTTCGAAATTTTCTTATTTTTATATTGTTATGATAATTTTATGGCATTAATAATTTTATAATGTTTTTAAAGTTTATAGTTTCACTTGAAATAATAAAAAAAAATCGGAAATGATCCCATTGAGGACCGCGCAAATCGCCTCAATTAATGTTTTTCGAGCAATTCTCTGACAGAGGAGAAAAGTCGATCCACGTCGCGGATACTTCGGCAATTACGTCGACGGCGTGTACCGGCACGCTTAGGTACACGGTATCGATGGAATACCGATAATCGGCTAGCCCCTACAAGGCGCATATCCGGATAGGTCGATGCCTGAACACGCGCCCGGCGTTATATACCCCGGCAATTTGTGCCCGCGCGCCGGTGCACATAATGCCCCGGTTATTATTTACGAGGCATGGCCGCCTGGTTTTCCAGGGATGGCAATATATCGACACCCCACGGAGTTTCCCTTCCTTTGGCTACTGGTTACCATTCATAATGGAGCATAATAGCACTCTCCCGTGCCCTTCCTGCCCCTTTCCGTCCCTCTACTCTCTCTCTCTCTATCTCTCTTTCTGCCTTTACCTCTGCCGACCGGGCTTAATTCGCAGTCGCAGAGTGCAACTACTCTCCCTCGTTCCCTTTTCTTCATCGCGTCTCGCGTTCGCATCCAGGAATTTTAAGCTACGGGGATGGGGAAGGGGTTGTTAGAGTTGGAAACCGATCCGATTGTTGCGAAAGAGGGAGCGGCGGATGATAGGAGCGAAGTAATTTTAGGTACTCCCTCGGGAGTGAAGGTGAGGAGGTGAGGTCGAGGTGCCGAGATTTTGTTCATCGAATTACGCTTGCGTCGACGATCGGCTTTAAAATCTTTTTATCACGCTATTCAATTTCCATTTATTAATTTCTCTTGATTTTAATAAATTCGACTCTGCAAGACGCGCAATCAAAGATTATTTTAATATTTTGCACTCTATCATATTCGATCAAAAGAAATTATTTTTATTTTACCATCCTGAAATACATAAAGTTGCAAGTTTCAAAGTTAAAGTTGCAACATTTCAAAATATAAATTAAAAGATTAGCTCAAAATAATAACAATCCCTAATTTTTATTAATATATAATTTATTCATATATTAAAAGAAAATTAAAAAGACTATTAAGGATGTTTTGTACCTATTTTCGAAATATTGAGAATTTAATGAAAATTGTACAGAATGTCCTTACGTATGTTTAAAATCTGCAGTACAATTTTTAAATCGATTCACTAAAGCGTTCACAAATTATAAGGATTTTAATTTCCACCGAATTAACATGTGTTCTTATGGCAAACGTATAACCACGTCGTATAACCACGTATAACCACTCACATTAAATGACAAAAATACATGGAAATAATATTCAAAATTTGTTTAAAATTTGCAAAAGTTTAGATACAGAGGAAATATTTGGTCAAATAATATTATACAAGTACTAATTGGTTAAAAAGATATTAAATATAATTCAATGAAGTTAGCCATGTATCTGTCACAAGACGAAATTCTCTGCCAAAAGTTAATCATTTCGATTCACAAAATTCGGAATATTTCAGTAAAAACGCAATAAATATTAAAAAATACATCTCTGTACTGTAGCTAAGATCAAATTAATAATATTCCACACAATTTCTTACCCAAAATACACTAAAAATGAATATATTCGTCAATATTGATTTTCAGCTACTTTTTGCTGAGATTGTACATACAAAACATCCTTAAAGAGAAATATATTAAAATATATTAATGTATATTGAAGTAATTATTATAAAATTTAAGATTGCTTATATATAAAATATATAAATATCTTGTCGATTGATATGGAAATATTTTATTGGGAATATAAATTTAATCAAGCGGAGAGAGTAATATGATTCGAGAGACAAAATATGACGACGTTATATAATATTAATGAGGATTTTTACTTCCTCAACTGCTTGTCCTTTTTTTCTTTCTTTTTTTTTCATCGGACCGTGAATTTTCGTCCTCGACTATAGCTGACCGAATAACGAGTCGAATAGCTTTTAACATTTTTTCGACTTCCATCAATATTTGCTCCCTCGCTCGCTATTTCTTTTTCGTCTCCTTCTCCGTATGGGAACCGAGAGTTCCTCTACCCTATGCGTGGATCCACACGCGCACCCACACATGTTTCCACGACATACACACACCGGCTCGCTTAAATATATATATACGTACAAATGCGTGGAAGCCAATCGAAGAGAGGCAGAGAGAGAAAGAGAGAAATTTTTTGGGGCCTTTTCTACGGATCGCGCGGAAGAGAGAATAAAGTGTTGCCGAACTTCGGCAAACATGGCGTCGTGTTTGCTCGCCCTGTGAAACGATCGGTCTCGATTGGTACCGACAACCTGTGTGCACACATACACATAGAAAACGTGTCCGTGTGCGTGATTCAGTTGTGTGCGAAGGATGACACCGGAGATCGCGTGTTTTTTGGCCGCGACAACTACCTCTCCATACTTGGTAACTATAATACAGTATTCCATTAACTTTCTTTACATGATTCCGAGTAATCCGCAGAAATTGATTTATATATTGCGGATTCTTTTCCTTTATATGATCAGCTTTAATACAATGATCTGTTTCTTTGTGCCAATTGATATTATATATAAAATATATAAAAAAGACATTTAATTTAATAATAATATGTTTTTAATGACATTTCATATTACTATTCTTATAAATATTGCATCATAACAATCATTAATATCTCCACTTTTATTCAATTATATATAATGGCAATAAAATGTAATAATATATTAATCAAAAATAAATAAATAAATAGTATATAATTATATATATTATTAAATATTTATAAAATATACATATAATTATTTCAGTTATTCTTATTTTATATTCTTGTTAGATTTCATACATAGATGTAGCAAGTATAAGAAATGTAATATGTAATATAAATATAACATAGTAAAATAAATATATAATATAATAAATAAATATAATATAAATATAATAAATATATTTATATTATATATAAATATAATACATATAATATATAATACAACAAATATAATTTTCCTACATCTATGATTTCACTTTAACTTTAACAAAATATGATTTGATATCATAATAACTTTGACAAAAAATGATTTGATTATTCATATAAAAATCGAAAATACTTGTAGCGAAAAAATTAATACGAGAAACGAACGAGTCGATCGAGCCGATGTAATCTACTCTGCGCAACTCTTAACAAAGCATTCTTCTCAGGAGCATCCTTATATCGAGGTATCGAGATATTTCATCGAGTCGACTATTCTTTCGACGTTGGACAGAATCATTCGCGAGGACAGGGAGAGGACGGAGTAGTAATAGAGTCCAGGGGACGCGTCGCTGCAAATCGAGAACCCCTTCCTTTCCCTTCCCTCCCTCCGAGGGGCGTCGCGAAACAATTCCCAACTGAATAATATTAGTATCTAACAATGGACGTGCTAAATTGAAATACAGAGAGCACCACGCTGTTTCACGGGGCTCGCGCCGCCTCGC